CGGCGTCAGAACGGGATATCTTTGGCCCATAGATGTTCCCGCACACGATGCGCGCCCTCGACGACGGGGGCATCTAGCAGCAGCGCGCGGTAAGGTCGACATGATCCTAGAAAACATGTTGTTAGCAGTGAGGCATCAATGGGGCCTATCATGAACCGGGGTGCACCGAAAGGTCTAGCGAGAGTTCGTCAAAGAAGCCTTACAGCGAGCCAGCTGTAGGTGAGAACCCATTGGGTATCCAAACCAACCACAATGGGTGACGGCGCCGCGCCGGTGATAGAGCATGTGGTAACCCCATCGGGATATAAGGGAAAGTCCGCAAAGCAGCGGAGCGTCAGGAGTGCCAGTAATGATGTATTACGACGTGATGGATCGGTAGTGCAGCGCCCGCTGCGTTAGGTTCAGGAAAGTATCCGTGTTACTCGGTGCAGAAGAGCGTCCGCAGCCGTCTTGAACGTATTGAACAGTGTCCAGTGTACGTAGGTGTTCGGATTGGGTCAGCACAGGCGCCAGTTTATCGAACAGAAGCGGGCGATGGTCTCTTCAAGAGCAGATGGACCTCGCTCATCTCAAGGCCAATGATTCTAGGCTTTGGGTATCCTTGCAGGCCGCCTCTACGCGGGGAGCCGTGCGGATGAGTCGCAAAGGCAAGCAGGCCGCAGGCCCGGTTAGGCCGCCGTGATGACGTAGCGCGCTGTTCGCGCGTTGCGCGTCGCGTGTCGCAAAACGAAAGCTTTCACTTTCAACCATCACTTGCCTGGATGGTCTTGAGTCCTGCTTGAGCCTGTGGTCAACATACTCAGGAGAATGAATGCTTCGAAACATCTGTCCGATGCTATACTTGCTCGCAAACGTGCCCGGGGCCACGTTGTAGACTTCCACTCAAGAACAGATCTCTGACGCTCGCGAATTGGCGTCACTCACTGTGGGTCTGAACGTGCAGCGGCGGCAAGTAATTATGTCATATGATATGTAGTACAGTTCATCTAATATATATCGATACGTTAGGCAGGAAATTCAAGTTGAACCTTTCATGGCTTAGGCAGAACCCAGGCGACCTGATTGTCCGCGATGGTTGTCCCAAGCGCGACACCTGCACACAACTCCTCCCGGATCAGCATATCGCCTGGCGCAGGCAACTTACCGTGAGAGGTGCAGGACCCCGCAAAAGATGATTAGGGTGCGTTACCTCGGATACGGCAAGACCAATCTACTAACTGCGCTTTCTAGCATCTGCTTCATCATCTTGGTGCATCCCGTCCCATATTGACCGACTGACGGCTGGGCCCACTTGAATGCGTGGCCGTTCTCCTACGTATGCGTATGGGTCATCTGGGCCGAGCCCAACTCTATGTGGACCAGCCGGCGCTGAAGCACGGGCCTTGTTCCGTACATGCCGCGCGAGGCGACCTTGCAACCTCGACGTTCGTGATTTTGCCATATCGTTCGGGATACAAGGTTGACTGACACGTATATTCAGGTTACGATCTACAGGACCCCGCACTGTTCTTCCATCATCGTCGGTGCGGCTTGAGTTCAAGGGCTTTTGCATGAAGACCGGGAGCTCGCCCCCTCGTGCGGCGTTTGTCGACGCTCTAGTGACTACGAGCACTGCTGGTACGAGCATCGTATTCTCCCAGGGCCATCGACGGGTGGCTCTTCTGGACTATCATCGCTGCAAGCTGGGGCGGCGCAGCAGTTTCAACGGGACGCGGTCGGATCAGTGGATGAAACGTGGAAGACTTGTTCAGTAAGGGGTGTCGTGCTAGCGTGATAACGGGTAGAGAGACCCCTGCGGACGGGAGGTGCCAGGGTGCACACTGCATCGTGAACGTTATGGGTGAGGTCTCAAGACGGCCAAGTGCTATGCACTGTGCGATCGTCGTACCGCGTCACGTTGTACGATACTTGCTCACGATCCCTACCCTCCTACGTATATCTCAGTGTAACAGCAAGAGCTCTGCCCCCTTGAGATACGGAGAATTGACAGTTGCCAAAGATGAGAAAACAATTGAGACTGGATATAAAGCGAATTTGGTACAGCGCGGTATATACTTCGTTCGGTTCGAGGCAGCGACAAACTCCCACGATTATCCCGATAACGCTGTTCTACATCAAACGACCTGTGAGCCCTTCCTCTTGGCCAGCGAGAATCTTCCAATAAGTATGAGCGCGGTGCCGCCCAAGATGGATACCTAGTGACAATGTTAGTGCATCTCGATGAGTAAAACGGAGCACGCCGTCCGAACGCTGACGTACCGCGCTGAAGATGATGGTTTTGCCCCAGTCGAAGCTGTCTCCTAGAAGTGCACCGACGATAGGATTGCCCGTTAAAGCTCCTATAGCTGCGATGGCGAATCCAAGCCCCACACGCACGCTGGTGTATACATGAGCATAGTCTCACAGACCTCATAGATCGACAACATACCCGACCTCGCTCTCGTCCCTCGACAAGGTGGCGATGCTGAGCGTCAGCAACGACAAGACTACAGGAACACTTGTGAGCCTAGAACGCTAGAAGAGCGACAAGTGCTCACATGCGCCGGAAAAGAATCCATAGATAATGGAGAACACGATCGTACTCGCCGCAGCCGAGATCCCGTACAGAGCGAAGAGAAGCACCGCGCAGGAAAGGCAGCAAAATATGATGCTATTGAAGATGCCTATGCGACGTGCGTATAGGTTTGGTATAATCCTTCCAGGGATAGACCCGGCGTTTAGAATTGCGAGCTGAAACCGCGTTGTCAGATACTGTAGACGCCCTGCGAGTCAGCGGACCATACCGTGTAGAAGGCGATTGTAGAGTTAATCCCGTGTTTGATCGAGTACAGCTGAAGATAGAAATCTGTACACACGTTCAGGATACGGCTAGCGTGGATCTATATCGAGGACTGAAACACTTACAAGGGAAGAATAGCCCCCATAACATCAATAGTGTTCTGAAGACGGGCTTCGTTAGCTGGATGATGGAGGATGAAGCGGGAATTGGCGAACCCTACGACAAGAAACATGTACGGGGCATCAACGAACAACGTGCGCAATGGCGTGCGCGGTCTTGACGTGACGGCGGGGTGTGAGCTCATCAAGATATTCGCCGCCAAAAGCATGCCCAGCGTCAAAAATCCGGTTGCGCGTACGCCCCAGGCAAAGCCGAGCTTTCCATTGATGAGACGGTTGAGCATGATCGGGAAGATGATACCTCCCGCGGAGGAGCCTGTTGAATAGAACGAGTGTCATGAGAGGGGGGCGCTTAGCGATGTTGCTATTCGTCTCACCAGCATTAACCAGTCCGACGGCAATCGGTCTCTTGGCCCGGAAATGGTGTGCTTGTACGGCCACTGCGGGAACATAGATCAATCCGGCCCCAAGACCCATCCCTACACCCTGAGATAGGAAGAGCTGATAATACTTGGTTGGATGCGATATGGAAACCATGAAGAGCCTACAAAACTGTATGAGCATGAATCCTACGCAGGAGCGGGATCGGTTGCTCACGAGAATAGGTAAAGCAGCGAGCCAAGAAAGGTGGTGATGCGGAAGTACCCTGCATCAAGCAGTCTACCGGACACAAACCCGACGGCTATGAGGAGGAAAAGTTGAACGCCTCGGTGCCGCCATCAGCGCGCCGTCCGTACATTGAATGGGCTGGACTTACCGCCTATCCAGGATATATTAGACGCGGTTGAGGTACCCGCGCGTGTATAGTAATCCTGAAAGACACCGAACGCGTTCGCGTAGCCGAAAGTCGATGTGAAGACTAGAAAGCTGATTCAATAGATAAGCAGGGACTCTCTTGCGTACGACTATTCACGCACCCGCCTAGCACAGTTGACCATGCCCTCAACCCCCGATCTACAACATGCGGTACGTCTTGCGCCGCTGAGCCTACAGGCGGGGTCTTCTCGTTATCCTGAATGCTCTGGTCACTGGTAGGTGTGTTATCTGCCATGGCTGTAGTTCGCGCTGGCTGGAGAGTATGACGGTCCGAGTGAATATGAGATGTGGGGGAGAGGTAGAGTGGCGAAAGTGGGCGTTTGTAGGGCGTCCTGCGGCCCTCACCGAATACCCTCAAGAGTTGTGGGCAAAGAGATACGCCGCGAGGTATGGAATGCTTATTCTGTAAGCATGGCAAACAGATATCTTGCCGAGCGCTCGAGACCGTGAACGTGTACCCGTGTCTGGCGAGCATTCGTCATCCATGTTGGGTAGAAGACCGGATAGATCGGGTAGTAGCCAGCGGGAACCCAACCTCAGATAGAAGCGAAGAATGGATCAATGCGAAGTTGGAGGCAGAAGTGGTCATCGCGGTACGAACAAAGGTCCGTGACGTGCCACAACGTAGCTTCTCGCGCATTTCCCAGGCATTGCGGGGTCTATGAAAGTCCGGTCGACTGGAAGCTCTTTCCGCGACTCCCATGTACAGCGAACAACCAGCAGCAAACCTGCAGCTGCGTCATCGCCACGGAGTAAAAATAGACTTAGACGCCGGGACCGGCGTATGCACCCGATACATGTATGATTCTCCGTTCTCTGCGGTATTCAGGACCAGTGCTTCGATTACGCCGTCGCGGTGGCACTTACTTGAACCAAACTCTCAGAATCTCAAGAACTGATGATTATCTTCCGCTACATGCTGCTACAGGTCGCTCGCTGATTCGAGACGCCGTGATATAGACAAATTCCCGGTGGGCCACGACGCGGGGATCCATTTTGGGTAGTGTGTTGTCATGATGCATGGACGGCGGAAACAAGCCGTCGGCTCCAGTTGAGCATACGGAGAAAGGCTGTACGGGCAGCGATATCGGCTCTGTTCTCAGTGGCGAAGCTGAGCTAACTTTGGCTACGACGCAGATACCCATGTGCTTCCTACATCTGAATTCAATGATCCTTCGTTGAGATGTCAAAATGCAACATGGCTCATTCATAACCTGTGAAGCCCTCGGACTCGTGTACGGCGTGTCCAGTACAGGCCTTGCCCATTCACCCGCTAGCTACGATGGTTCAGTCTCTCCCATTCCTTCACATGACAGCCTTCTCGACGCACATCGCTGGTGGGAACCCCGCCGCGGTTGTCTTCCTAACGCCCGAACAAAACTCCCTCATTACCGACGATACTCGTCAAGTCATCGGCGCCAACTGGTATCAGCCAATGACTGCGCTTGTAGCTCCCCGCCCCATACCTGAAGGCCTCGGTCAGGACAATGTACGCGCGTTCGACGTCAAGTATTACACCGCCAATATCGAGATCGGCTTATGTGGACATGCGACACTATGCGCTGCATCCGCGCTGTTCGATCACCCTACCCTGACCACGCCGACCACTACTGTTCTGGAGTTCCATGCTAAGAATGGACGCATCGTTGCTCGAAAGTTAGAGGACGGACTTGTCGAGATCGAGCTCCCTGTGGGCAGACACGAACCTCTTGCCGCTGAAGACCCGCGCGCCGTGGCACTTCGAGCTGCGCTCGCTAGGGCACTGGGGCCGGACGTGAAGGTCAACTTCATGGGCGCTGGACTAGCGCATCTTGAGATCTACTGCTTGATCGAGATTGAGACCGACGATCTCCGGAACCTCAAAGTCAAGGTCGGGGAACTGGTATGTGCCGTTGATTGCTCTGCCTGTGTCGCTTAAACTCAACGCTCATACTCCCTCAAAACCCTCAGATCGATTCCCCCTTCACCGCACATGTCCTGACCATGCCTTCTCGCGACCCCTCCGTTGCCTTCATATCACGTATGTTCGCTCCAGCAGCCATGATCCCGGAGGACCACGTTTGTGGTACGGCCCACTCGATGATGACGCCGTATTGGGCCGTCAAGGCGGGACTCAAGGACCAGCTCGCGAGCGACGGCGTGCGCGCTATTCAAGTCAGTCCACGCGGAGGCGAGCTGAAAGTGTGGCTCGACGAGCAGAAGGGAGTCGTGAAACTGGCAGGGCCAGTGGCAACGATATCGACAGGGGAGCTGTATGTGTGAGCATGTAAGATCTTCTTCTCCCTTGATCCCAAGCTACATTTGGACTCAACGTACAACAGTGTTCCAGATGTCCTAAGGTAACCCTACCGTGAAGCGATCCTGAACTAGACGCGCAAAACGCATCACTCGTGTGTTTCGATGACTTTGTCTGTGAGATTCGTGTTTGCTTTTGTCATATCTCTGTGACTTGTGTATATTTTGATCAGACCCGCTATGTATGTGCGCATATACAAACTGCATTCCGCAATGAGTTGTCAACGACGTCGGCTAAATCATGAGGAATGACCATCAATGGGGACACGATGTTCGCCCGCGCTCAGCAGAATGACGAATCCTTGGCCGAGTACTCTCGTGGAAATGGTACGTAGCAGAAACTATCAGGTTTTGTGCATATGACGCGCAGTCCGTGACCGCGTACTACGCAGGAAGTGAGGCACAGGGACTTGTGCCTTTACTCTTACATCACCTCAAGTTGCCGCACAGCCGAGTCTCACTACGCTTCAGCTCTGTGCCACAGCACCGAGGCAGTGGTAACTGGGTTGATAGTGGGACTTCAAGATAAGGCGTAGCTCGTACAGACGGCACTTCGTGACGGCATACGCGCGTTAGAGTTCCGTGTCCAAGATCATGATGTCGCGAATCATAGTATCTACCGCTCATTGGCTCTACCAGATGGCAGCTGCTTGAATCTTGTCCCTATCCAGCTGCTTGATCTGGAGGTGCATGAGGTACGTAGCATCTATCCTCACATGGAAATGGCTCTACGCCAATGTATCGTAGAGAGGGCCAGTCACACGCCACAAAGTACCCCCGTGATATCAGCCCTAGGTATCATGAGTGGAGTATCGAGCTCGAGTAACGGCGGGAAGAGTGGTCTAACAGATACCACTTCATCTGGTGGTTGTCAATGGTACGACTTCCTGTAGCGATGATCACTGTGACGGTGGCTCAGGGCGCACAGTAGGGCGCTGGTCAAGTATCGCTTGCTCCGAGCACCGCTTCGAGCGTAATGAGTCCGGTGTCAATCACCACAGAGCGGCGCTTCGAGATGAAAGCAAGACTGGACGGGTTGGCAGATAGGCAGATGCTTGTGTTGCAGCCGCCAATCTTCTTCACGTTGCGAACGTGCCATGCTAAAGTGCAACACTTCGGGAGCTGGAGAGATGTGGGTACATATGGATGAGCGTGGGTCATGGGAGTCCAGAAGGAAGCCGCGGGTTGGCCGGGGGCCGCTGGGGGCCGTCGGCATTTTTACGTCTTGTTCTCGTGCCACGATGTCGCGCTACCAGGTCTGGGAGGGTTTCAACCAAGTATATGCCGCTGAGTGGCAGATGACGCGTTGCATACACCCTGCCTTCGAGCGGGTCAGATGTATGATATGGTGTCTGGATCAACTAGTATGGAAACAGGCGAAGGAGAACTTACGTTCACTACCTTATCCCGATAGTTCGGCGCGGGCGAGGGCGAGGCGGGAGATGTAGCTGCAGCCGACACGCAACAGGTTAATGAAGATAACGGCTAGCCGGATATCTGACGGTGCAGAAGTAAGCACTACAACGGCCTACTTGTTAAAGCCCGGCGATGACTGAAAGTACGAGATATGCGCATCCCTGTGTCATTGCGAGTGCTCATATTGACAGTACGACGTAGCTTCTATCCAGGACCCCCTCCACCGCACCAATATTCTCCTACCGAATTACTATCATGTCTCGCACTCCCTTGTCTCTTCACCCGCTCTTCAAAGACGTCGACGTCAGCTTCATGTCTACCGACGAACGGGTTGCGCTCTCGTACAAGCGCGCTCGTCTCATCCTCCAGACATACGGTATGTCTCAGCCGAATGTTTTCAAACGTTTCGTTGCTGAGGATCTTTGTTGTCAGACTTGACATTGGCTGATGTTCTCAACTACGGATCCAAATTTTGGGATCTTCACCTAGACCCTATCATTCCCCTTGACATCGCCTGCTACACGATACTGGGTGCTCATGTCAACTTAACTATCGGCACTATCGCGCCATACGTCAAAGACTGTCCCGCTCTAGAGCCTCTGGTGGACTCTATGCTTCGTCTCGACACCGTTGGGATCTATCTGCTCAGCGAACGTGGTCATGGTTTGGACTCTTTCAACATCGAGACTTACGCGACGAGGATGGAAGATGGAGGGTATATCCTCAATACTCCGCGAGAGGAGGCGGCGAAGTACTTGTTGTCCTATCACATCATTACATACAATGCTCACCCGAGGGACAGGTTCATGCCAGCCAGCACTCCTGTCTTTGGTGTCCGCAAGGTTGCCATCGTTATGGCACGCCTGATGGTGGACGGAGATGATCGAGGCCACCGCTGGTTCATCGTCCCGATATGCGATGAATCTCATCTCTACCCCGGCATCATTTCGAAACGCCTCCCCATGCGTACAGGCACATCTCCGCTCGATTTCTCCTTGACGTCGTTTCACAATGTGCGCCTGCCCGCCAGTGCTCTCCTCGGTTCGTCACTAGAGGCACCTGCGAAACCACTCGAGGCCTGGTGGGGTCAAGTGTGGCGCATACCCATAGGCAGCATGGCGGTCGCAGCGCCATTCCTCGTTGCGCTCAAGCACACGGCGTACATCGGTGGCAGGTACTCGCTTTTTCGTACCGTCGCTGGGCGTAATCCTTCCCCTATCCCCATCATCACATTTCCTACACAACAGTGGGCTATACTCAGCGCCGTCGCAACTGCCAATGTTCTGGATGCGTGGTTCAAGGCCATGATCAGGCTGGTGGTCGACAAATCGATCGATCCTCGCGTGCGCCATGGTCTCTCTGTTGTAGTCAAGACTACGACTATGCGCCATTTCCTGCGCTGTGCCGTCGAGGTCTCTGAACGCTGCGGCGCGCAAGGCACCTTTGAAAGCAACTTTATGGCACGCGCCATTGTCAGTACTCTTCCCACTTTTTGTAATATCGACAATTGCTGACCAACGATGTAGTGCGACTGCAAAGGTCTCATCATTGCTGAAGGAGACGTTCTCACGCTCTGCATCCGCTTATTTTCCGAGCTTCTTCTGAAGCGTTACTCGCTCCCCCTCCCACCATCTGCGGACTCGCTTCTCGCCAAACACGCCCAATCCGTGCTCCAAGATGCCACAGAGCTTGCACAGAAGTGCTCTGGTGGACATCGTGGACAAGAGTTCCAGTACCTTATCCTCCCTCAGGCTGAGAGTTCGATCGCGGCTTTCGGTCACGCCCTGGCATACGCGGCGGCGCGCGAGGCGGGCGTCCCACAGTACATGCTTGATTTGTATGAGCTGGCTGTCATGGAGCTTGATACGGTCTGGTATTCTCAGCATGCTGGAGTCACGAAGCTCGAGCATCTGAAGAGACGTGCGGCTGCGATGGACAGAGCACTACCCACCCTACAATCCGATCTCGAGGAGCTTGGCGTGGAGGACTGTGTGCAGGCCTCAATCGTCGGGGAAGAGAAGCTGAAGCAGACTATAGAGCTGCTTCCGACCTATCGCGGAACTTCCACTGATGTGTTCAGAGACACGTATTTGGTTCCGCTGTCCTCTAAGTTGTAATCAACATCAGGATCGTTCACCCGTATGCACCGTATGCGTGCCCTATAGCACTGATCCTGATTGATTGAGGCTCCTGTATGTCGTATGACTCGAAGTGTTGCCCCTTGTGTACTCCCTACAAATGATTCGTTACCGGATAAAGTAACACTTGCCTTCTACTACCCGTGTGATACCATTCCTTCGTGTCGTGCCTGACTGTGTGCATCAGCTTCGCTATTTAAAACCTAAGTCAAAGCAGTGTGTGAGCAACAAACCGAGGTCGATTCGGACAGCAGAGCGCGTGTGTTGGGTTGAGCTCATTTGAGATGTGACCGATAATAGGGCAGATCATCGTCATCATGATCGATCAAGCGGTGATCAATCAAAACCCCGACGGAGCGGGAAGCCTAGACCGAGAACCCCATCGTGCATCACCACCACGATCCTCGACCACTGGGCGCCTCAAGACCTGTGGTTCGCGAGTCTATCTGCTTCATCCTACTATCATGAGATCCTGTGGCGCTCTATGCGATTCTAGCCTCATGTCCAACCGTCACTGCGCGGACTGTGCGGCTGACAGGGCGCTCTTCCCAGTCACAGCTTCCTGCCCGTCCTCCTTCTCCCGCGGCTGAGCGGCGACTCGCTTTCGACCGAAATCGCGAGTACAAGGCTATTCTCGACCTTTTGCGTCGTCAGAACTCCCGCTCATCCAATACATGCACGTCATACGTCCTTTCCACGAGTGAGTGAGTCGTGAATCACGCGACAACGGTGACGCGACGTGGGATGGCGACTACAACTGATGAATATTTCCCAGTACACGGTCAAACCCCATACCAGCCTGTACCTAGAATGCTATATGACGCGCGCAAATCCCGCGCGCCAATTCAAGCTCAGGCGATACATCCAACTGTAGGTGCGCTTGAAACCCCGTCCTATCGAGCCGTCAAGTCGTCCGTGCTGACACAGAGGTATCAAAAGACCCGCCATTCATGTTTCATCCAGTGTCATGAGTGTATCGGTCCAGATCAGGATGCCCACTACCTTATTTGCGGTGAGCGAACATCGAATCCTCGCGATCTCAGAGTTCAAAACACGCACTGCCCGCCCGGCCTCCAAGTTTGTACCCGATTCTACGTCAAATGCACTCCAGGCTATTTCTGGGTAGGCATCCCCCGGCTCCGAGGAGTTCGCAATACCCCGTCCTTATCTTGTATCAGGAGTCGTGTGGTCAGATGCAAACCATGCTTCTATTCTTGCTGTTCATCTCCCGCTGTCAGGGGTATGCGACATGCACTGCGACGACAGGGCCGCTATCTCGGCTCTCTGTGGGTAAGCACTCACAACACGTCATGAGTCCATCTATACTGATATGCGGTATCCAGGTGGCGCCCTCCATGACCCGTATACAGATACAGAAACTGAATGGCGTCGCTCGCTTGATGCACTCTCGACACCTGTGGGCCGGGCCGACAGAGTTGCGCCACGAGGCTCCGACAAGGCTGGCTTGATTTCTCAGCCTTGGTGTATTTAAAGAAGTACAGCCATTGTGCGTGCTACCAGCCGTCGCCATGCCTTCTCTTGTACCGCTAGATATTACTCTTGGCGCTCTGTGCATCGGCGTCATCTTCTCAAATATGTCAGTATACCCCGGCATCGGAGCTTGGGATCGTACTTACTTCATGACAGCGTTTATGGGATCAACTGCATGCAGGTCTTCCTGTACTATACAGACCACTGTAAACGCGACGGATGGTTCTTGAGAGCATTTGTAAGTGACCACATCCTTTCACTGGAGCTGGCCGCTCATGGTGCATACAGATCGCTGTCATGTGGTGAGCTCCCCGTGTTGCACAGCTCGTTCATTCCTCTCATCCATCTTAAGGATAATGGAGACGTTAATCTGCGTCCTCTTGAACTACGGCATCTACTTCTACACAGTGACCAACTTCGGGGACTATGATGTTCTTTTGCACAGTGCTACGGTTTGGTGAGTTCGAACAAGCACGAGCTCGTGGCGAGAGGTGCGGTGATCTAATCGGAGGCTTCAGGAGCATCCTCGTCAGTCGTTCAGTGCCCTGCGTCTGAGCATCTAACTAACACTGTCGTCGTATGTAGGTGGAAATTGGGCTCAGCGTACGTTCTCGCCTAGATCACTTGACGGCTACGACTCACTTCGACGCAGACCTTCATAGCTCTGCAGGTGCAGTGGTACGTCATCAACATGCTCGTGGCATATTCATGGTAGAATCTCAAGGAACTCCAGCTTCTTTGCCCATCGCGTCTATATACGTAGGTCGCATGACTCCTCCTGTGGGCAATTCCTTACGATGGTGCACGCACTAGTTGGAAATAAGAAGCTCACGCTTCCCATCATCATCGTAAGTCACTATCGTCTCTTAGCCTTATTAGGATGCTGATTTATGAGCAGACTATACTCTCACTCGCACAATTCGGTATGCACTTTCAACGTGACCATCATCTAGCTGTCCGAGCACTGAGATGATTGCCTTGACAGCCCTTGGGCTAGGTACACTACTTTTTATCATGATCAGTCTCGTGTGCTGACACTTCATCTCCGCCGCAACCCAGTATATATCGATGTGTCGTAAGTCTCCCGATCGTCGCGAGGTTTGACTTTGCTCATCGTCTCCTCAGGCTGAGCTTCAAGCGCTTCACCGGCGGCTCAAGCGACTTCGTGAGTGCACTTCTCACCTTGGTATGTTTGTGACGTAGACATGTTCTGACACCTCATCTAGCCGTATGTCATCAGCCTCTACGGGCTGGAGCTCATCGCGGACACAACCATCGCCATCTCCTCGATCTACTACCTTCGGGTTCGAGCCAATCGCACGGAAATACGATCGTGAGTCGTCACCTCCTAGAGTATACACCTACCACGCTCACACGTTGTCAGGACTAAGCATATCATTTACGTGATTATCAAATACGTCGTGAACACCTGTGGGTCCGGTCCGCCGCCGGGATCATGCATTCTGCTAACCTTCCTTCCTAGGTTTGCTCGAGGTGTAGGTCCAAGGATTGATTGTGGCAGACACCGACGCTCGACTGACGTGCGTACAGCGTCTGTATCATCCCGATCATAGTGTTGGTGCGTCGAACCAGTATAGCTTCATGTAAGCGCAGGAGTTCTCACTCGTCTGCCTGTAGTGGACTGCGGATGCTTCATCCTTGACATATGCTCCCTTCATCTTTGCCCTTGCTCGAGGTGCGCAGGTCACGTTCACGCTGCCGTATGAGAAAGAACCTAAAGCAGTCTTGATTAGTGTACTCTGCATCCGTGCTATGCTCGTACGTGTCAATCAGCGCATACAAGGGATCATACTGATGCGAATCTACGTTTGCGTAGGCTCAACAACCGCGACTACCTTCGAGAGCTTTCTACCCGTGGTAAGGGGATGATTACCATGTCAAACCTTCGCGACCAGCCTTGTGGAAACGGCGTGCAAGGTGGTGTATCGGATTCCGAAGATAGTAGACAGCATCAGATTGCCACGAACACCATCCAGCTGGGGACGCAAAGCGTGGACACTGGTACCGAGCCTGGCACTGACTCGAAGGGTACGGTACTTGTGTGATTATCGGTGAGCAAGCTCTCTCTTGTACTTTACATCGACTCATAGATCGCAATTAGGTCTGCAACTGGGTCTGTGGTTCGCTGCTTAAACTCGTGGATTGCTTTCTGTACTCGTTCTTGTTATGGTTATTGCTCACGGTTATTTATGGTTAATGGTCCTGTACGATAGTGCGTGTAGTCATACCTCCGCGTGTATGTATCGATGTAGTATCAAATCAGTAACTGTCGTGTCGGAAGATACGATGACCGTTTTGTCAGCAGTGCACAACTGAAGACTGGTACACCCATGGCGCGATGTGCCCGGCGTTGCAGACAGGAATCTGCGATGGGCCGATTTTCCACGTTGTCCTCACAGTCGCAGGCTTCAAGATAGAGGTGTCCCAAGGTATCCCCTCAGTATTTCCAGAAAGACGAAGTCTACACGACAGGCAACGGATCATAAGACGCCTGAACGCTCATGACCGCGCGTTTCCTCTGCCAGATTCTTCTGCTAACCTCGAAAGTGTTTCGGCGGCCATTTACCGAGATAGCTACGAGTAGCACTTGATCACGACTATAAGTCATCCTCATCATATCAAGTTGTACTTATGATCTTCCGCCATCCCTAGGGAACTGTGTAGGATACTAGGAGCCAGCGGCGTCAACTTGGAAAGGGCTATGAGGTTAGTAGCGACAGAGACATCTTGTCTTCGAGGTCTTGTCCAGCCTCATGTGAGTCCCAAATCCCGGTCTTGCATAGTCTAGCTGCGGTACAATACATATTTTCGAGAAACCCGGCATGGAAAAGTCGCAGGGGCTGGCTTGTCCAACAATTCAGCATTTTTCCCATTGGCTCTCGCTTGCCCTACGTCATCTGCCTTGCTCGTACGCTGCTTGCTACCGGCAACAGTCGATACGTCGTCGCCCGGCGACGTATGAGTTGCACACGTCATACGGCTAGAAGGGCATCTATTCAGAGGATGACAGCAAGAGACGAGACGCGCGCATGCGGCGCTGCAAAGCAAACCGGATCAAGTGCGAATTGACACGCGTGCTTGCGATAAATCGTCATCTCGCCCAAACCTCGCCGTCACTCGGCTCGCGATACTACCACCCGAACAACCACTCTCATGGCTGAATCTACAGACGACCATGCAAGAAACATGCCAGTCGGTGACGACACCGGCCGGGGGCCGCTTCTCCGCGCCTGAGTCGCGACCAGATTGCGAGCTGGACAGCCCACGCCCGGCTTGCTCCCGACTCTCACCGTCTTGCAGCTTCCTACATCGGCGGTTTTGTTCGATGAATTCGGCGACTTTAGTCATTGTGTGTTGTGAAGCTGCTCTATAATATGGCAGCTGTACATCTGCGGAGGGCCCTGCAGAGATCGGGACTTGGAGACGCCCATCGTCGGTACGCGTCATACAGGTTGATTTGGGGACAAGGTGCTGATGATGGTCTAGAGATGGAGTTAGTCCTGGTCTCGCTCACGGACTGGCTAGCTCTGTACGTCTTCTCTAGAATTCACTTCCGTCTGAAGCACTAGCTAATGTACGACAATGCACAGCGCTTGGGTATTCTCGAGAAACGTAGCCCTTCATCCGTGTCGCCCCACGATCTTTACCAGTGCTGTCGATGCGGTTGAAGGTGACACGGCTGTGGACAGCTGGTGCAATCACATCAAGACTGGACCTGGAGTGCGTTCATATCGCTCAGAGGGAAGTAGATTACCCCTCTGCTGACACAGAGATAGGTGCATGCTCCTGTGTGACCAAGGATCTATCTGCAAACCAGCCGCATCTCGGTCAGTTTCCATCTCATGGCTCCCCTGTCATCTCGCTGACAAGTATGACTTCAGGAGAGCCTGTCCTGAACCTCGCAGCGCAGTCCTGCCGCGTGCCTCGTTAGCGCTGGCAGTGGTAGGAGTCTTACGAGTGCACCGCCGAGGCTGCTCGATCTTGCCTGCCGGATGAGGCTCGATGTGTCTGTGTTATTGGGTTGCAGGGGAATTTCTAACGCTCGCCTCGGCAATATGCTTACATTGAGTAACTACGCATACACTTCACTGGATTCGACGATACACAGTTTGCAAGCAAATCCATACCGCGTTCGATAGTTGACAGCGTCTCAAGATCGACCGCCTACACCTCGTTACGGCCGTCTCCGAGACCCGCGACTGTATCCCCGACGGAGACGTCGTGGGCAAAGGGAGCTGAAAGCGACTGCGCATCCTTGACCTGTATCCGGTCTTACTGAGCGATCCCTTCTGTTAAGTGGACGGACTCACGGGACTCTCACGGTCCACGCTTTCCATCGTGTCCCCCCACTGACCGTCCCTCATGATGATTTTTTGGCGCGTCATCTGAACGTGGACGGGAGAGCTGTGCGGCTGCATATCCTTGTCACGTCGCACATCACGCGAGGGTGTCAGTATGCATACCTTTTTGGCTGGGGCTTGGCCCTTGGGAACTCCTGTCAAAGTCATGACACTGATATGCGCTTGGGTGCCGGAAGATCGCAGGGCGAGTCGGCCATTGAATCTAGAGCTCTGCATTGAGCGGCAGGAAACACAGCATGACGTACACGTACGTGGCTAACATTGTATTGGAATATACTATTACGCCTTTGTCAGCTTTGCCAAGGTCTACCCCGAACTAGCGGACACTCACATTTAGCGAAGACCAAGACAACGACCAGCCAAGCAGCTGCATGTCACGATATGGTCAGTATCGCGGGTGAAGGCGAATGGCTCTGGACTTTACTGACGTGTCTGGGGCAGCGCAAACACCTTTCCAGAGCGGGTCAATGACAGTCAGATGGATATTAGCCTGATAGGGGCGGCTGCGGACTCACAAGAATCAGGCCAAGGAAGCTAACAGCGCTGCGTCTGGTTCAACAAGAGTCCAGGAAACGTAGCGATATCCATACGTTACTAGGACTCCCGTCTCTGATGTTGACTTGAGTAACGATGAGCGTAGTTTGGGGAACATCGTCACTGACCTGTCGACCATAGTATTAAACGCTCGACTATCTTACGCGACCTGTACACAATGATGAGCGACACGACTTCACCTGCGAAGAGGAACATCACTGTGTGATCCTGCTACGGGCGCGGTATAGAGCATAGACAAGCATTGTGGTGTTCAGAGCGTCGGCCGAGGCGCCGGCCACAAGCCCGAGGATCGCAATATAGCGATACTGGACTGTGAAAACAGAGATACTGTGACGCGCAGACTCGACTCCTCCGACGATGGAGCACGAGAGATGGATCATCGTCCCCGTCCCGGACAACAGGAGTATCCAGATCCGCTTTCTAGTAACGATGTATGCTCGGAAAGCGAAGAATAGCTGGTATCTGTCAGAAGGATACCAGGCGATCAAGGCAACCCGCCGTACCTGAACTAACGCCTGCGCGAGACCGCCAACCGGAATAGTAATCGCCATGGTCCAAGGAGTCCTGTCTAGTGCAGCGTAGTTGCCAAAGTTATCAATCGTGGCGTTGTAGATGAACGCGCCGATCAATCCACTGTGAAACATCTCAACAGCACTGTGGGAGCCTGTCAGTCATACTGCTGAACTGGTCAGTTAATGGGCCTACATCACGACGGCGATCTTTCCCGTTCGTCAGATCAGGTTCATTCCCTCCTTTGTAAGAGACGGTGACCGTACCAAGGCTCTGATGAAACGACTATCGTTCGGGAACTCGGCCTGGTAGTATATGAACGCTTGCAGGATATTCATTCCAGCCAAAAAGTATGCCACAAGGACGCCAACTTCAAGAGCCCCCAAGTTTGGACCAAGACCTGAAGGATCGGGAGACGACATGACGAGGATCTGGGGGTCTGGGGGAAGAAACGAGTCCTATGTACCTGCTTTGACTTGAGAGATCTAGGAGAGCCTTTATACCGAGTCCAATGTTGACCTTCATGATGTGAGACAGGGCGTTACAACAGTACGTTCTAAGAGCGGCCCCACCCGCTCAGGTTGAGGCGGAAAGGGTATCGGGATTGGCTCGGCGGGCAGGTGACATCGGGTATGAATCAGATAGAGGCTCCTTTGACGGATCAATATGCCCACACGGTGAGAGATTAGAACAACATAACTGATCAAAATAGCATGGGGTATCTCGAAAGCTGCAAGATTATCAGGGAGCCAGCATCGTGAATGAAGAAAGGCTAGCACGTAATAGCCCATCAGATCGGTATGACGACAGGTCGTACAGCCTTGGACTATTATAGACCTCCAAGGACAACCGGTGTACCATTAGAAGCCGGGCCCGCACCACACAGTCGCCATTGGATCCATCGGCACCGAGTGTGATCATCTCGAGCGACATGAGGCATCGCAGTTCATCCATTCACGTATCACATATCACGACCACACGGATGATCTCGACAGACGAAGGCGACTGGGCTGGGATTACTGTACAGCAAATGTCAAGGTGTTGGTTCGGCGCCTTTCCTGTGAAGCTATGTCGGACTTATATAGACAGAGTCGCAGCGTGTGGTAGTTCCCGAGCATCGACTCAGGTGGGGATTGAGGATGGCGCCGGACTTCCAATCGCAGAGACGACAACATGATATCAAGGAGCCGATGAATGATAGCTTGGGTGCAAACTTCATGCCTAGCGAGGCTTACTCCAGGGGGCGTAGATCACTGTAACCATCGTCAGTTGCTGGAGTTGACTCAGATGTAGGGGTATACAGACAACGCTTGAGGTGGCGGCGGCGGCTTCCATTACACATTGATGATGACTTGCCTTAGCATTGACCATCTCGTCGCTGTCGAGCTTTTCAACTCCTGCGGGCGGGCCATGCAGCGGGACCCACCCAAGCCACGAACATGACAGTGAAGCTTGTTCCGCACATCGCCGGCAACGTATGCGTAGACGTTATGGAGACATTGATTCGGCAGCAACGATGATATAGTCATCGGCGATGATTCGGAGCTGGTCATGAAGCAGAGTTATTTCCGGTCCGTGTCCTAGACAAAACACAGGGATATCATGTTGGTACATGAGCAGATGGAAGAGATGGTGAATCGCACCAATAATGTAGAGCAGTCCATCGATAGAAAGCTCAACTGAGCGCCCTTTCAGACATTCTTCGCACGAAGATCCGGTTATTGGAGAGATCGCCACAAACCTCGTCGCTTCTCTCTGCAGATTGATGTACGCTACCACATGCGGGTATGTTACGCTCCTAGCTAGACCGACGTAAGCATGTGTAAACGTCTCAACCTCCCATATCCCTTGGTCGAAGTTTGAACCCTGCGGAGAATACTTGGCGATGCCCGCCGATCAATCAGGCATTCGTGTAGGCAGAAGCCTCATTCGCTCTTAACGGTCGTCATCCGGGCAGCATCTCCACCTGGATTGCAAGCGACAGCCTCATCGTGTTGAGATTCGAGGATCAGCCTGATGTCATCACTGGTAGAAGCCGACTGAGGCGTATGCGTTCAAACCGTTGCATACGTGGCCACGGAGCTTCTGACCGTCCGTTTACACGACCGAATACAGCATCGATTAAATACGCGCCTTCACGATCATGCGCCAAGACAAGCTTTCCGCCTTGAATGCGACGGTGACGGATGCGACCCTGCGAATGTCAAGTCAGTACGAGGCCGTCCGAGTTACAAGGGGAGCAGACGACATACGGGTCTAACCGTGGCCTCGAGGTCAGCTGGACTTCCTCTAGTTTAATGTCGGTATCAAGCTGTCGATCTGGCCCATTTTTGGGAATAGGTATACGGGAACGGTTAGCACGAGGCATCACAGACTAAGAGGCATCCAAACGGCGAGGATGGGAACAAGTCGGGGACGCCTCACCCATCCAACTCGTTGCAAATGTTTGAACATGCACCCACACTGGCTCTTGGCTGAATGATCAGACGCGAGCGATTATCAGGAGAAAAGCGCCGCAGCCACATCGACCAGGCCGCGAAATCCACCAGCACGCCTGGAAATGGGTAGCCTCGTCGCGGAAACACCATGGCCTGCATCCACAAAGCGAGTATAGGGCGAGAGCGCGCGTCGCCACATCCGAGTGGGGCCGTATAATGTTGAGACTCGTCATGCGAGGGCGCCCGTTGATCCGCAGAGACAATCAATCTGTAAGCCGGCAGTAGAGAGAGCGTATATAGGTCATCAAATTGAGAGAGACGGTGGTGAGGGCGAGAGACTGGGTACACGCAGGACGTTGAAACACGGGGACATGCGATCAAACTCTCACGAGTCACATGCCAATCTACCAGAATCTACCGTATAGAAAGTGGGCTGGGCTCCTCAGTCAGTCGATCTCCTCCCCCTCTGTAATATAAAATTGCACTTGACTGCGGTAGCAGATGTGTGCCTCAGAAGATCTTCGGACGAAGTCGAGGGAAGGGTTACCGATGAGGAACGCGAGGTCGTCGTTGCGCGGGCCAATTGAATTGTGGCACCGAGATACAGAAGAACAGGATTCGGAACAACTCTCCAAGACTGTGCAGATAAGATACATAGCAAGATGGTGTACGTGATATACAGCTAGAACTCCAAAAACATGGAATACAGCACTGCAGTTGCAGGCAGGCATTTTGTACAAGCGGAACTAAAAGACTCAATTTGGCCACGTACACCCAGGGCAGCGAGCAACCCAAACATTGTAAAACGCCTCGCTGGGCCCCAGCACAAAGCGCTCGTGAAGCACCTTCCGCATCGTCGGCGGCTTCGCGTGAACGTGTCCAGTCGCACCGAGATGAACTTGAAGGAGCGCCTCGTAGAACTGCTCGCCGTCCGGCATGACCGCGCGAGTATCATTCTCCCGGAACGTACTCTGTCGCCCGAGCAGTCGCTTGAGCCAGGTCTTGCGGCCTGGGGCGACATGTCCGTGCGCGGAGATGTACGCGAGGATGGCGGGCGAAAGGCTGAATAGGTTGCGCCGGTGATCGGGCGAAGTGGCCGTCTCTTGGAGGTGCACGCGAAGGTCGTGCGCGAGCTCATGCGGTGGAGAGACCCAGCCGGCTTCGGGATGATCGGTGAGCCAGGCGTGGACAAGGTCGTTGTGCGATGCAAGGTCGATGACGTCGTCGGGGTTCGGTGTGGTAGCGTTGAAGGGTGGGTCCACCGCGACGTTCAGTGCGGCGGGTTCGGGAGGCGCATCGTCGTCAGCGAGAATGACGGGTGGGAGATCCTGAGCGGGCGCAGCGGGAGGGGCCTCGCCGTCGGGACCGACCGCGATGTCCTCGGCGTCATCGGGGGCGTGGGTACCGAGCTCATGAGCGGGAGGTGCGGGTGTACCGGCCACGTCGTTGACATCCTCTGGATGGTTTGGAAGCCTGGCGGAGAGAGAACGAGCGTCATCTAAAGCGCGGCATTAGCATACATGCACATAACTTTCGAAGTCGGAAGAGAGGGTGCGAGACGAGGTGCATAGGCAGCACTTACCATGTGGAAGGCGAGCATCTTCGACGGCATCGACAACGCCTTCCTGCAGTTCGAGCTTGACCACACGAGCTGTACAAGATGAATGTTAGCACATGGCATGGAGATCGCGGCGAGAGGAGAACGCGTACCGCCGTCCGCGCCATCACGGCGGGAGACCTCGATCCGGACATGTCGGCTATCGGGGCCGTGTATGATGAACTCCCAATGACGGCCCGAAACGGACATGTACGGGGCACCATCGCCGTCGCCATGACCCTCATTGACCGTCACCGTGAGATGACGGTCCGAGACTTTTACGACTTGAGCCGACATGTTTCGAGGCAAAGGAAGGCGAGGATTGGGAAAGACAGGCAAAGTTGTTGGGGTTGCTACTGCTTGGAGAAAGGTCGCAGTCAGCCTCTTATCATGGCCTGTATTAGGTTTATGAGTGTACATACACTCTGCGTCTAGACACCCTCCTATTCCAAATAGCCAAGGTGCTGATCCCCCTATTAAAACACGTAAAAACACCAAATATAATCACCACATGCCCCACAGTGCTAAATAGGCGCCACAAAGCAGCCTTATGCCTATTTGGGATCCACCTGAAGGTCCCCGTGAGTCCAGGGACCATGCCATAATGATAGAAGGGACACACCTTATTTTTTCCGGCATTTTCCGAGAGGCTGTGTTTGAGCCACGTGCAGGGCTATGCAGGTACTGTATGTCACTCATCTTATGCCTGATGCTTAGCTGGATATCATATATGAGTGACTGCTACCTGTTTAGTGAAGGCTCAGTCTGCAGTCATAAGATAAGGGAGGGAACAGAGGGTCATTCACAGATCTAGCATTCATTGTAGACCATATACTTTCCACCAGATATCTACCACTGCATGCACTCAGCCGAGCATCATACATGCTCACTTCAAGTCAACAGCTTGGTGTACATGATGAGCAGCACACAAGCCTGGTGGCATACACCTGGGCTCACAACCTTCATAAGCAATCCATATCACCGATGGCCAGACAACATGCATCACATCTCATCCCGGCACACCGGGTGCTCTTCGAAGATCGCCCGAAAGGCAGAGAGCTTGCGGTAACTTCCGACATCGCGCGAGCAGTCAACATGCAGCACTTGGGGTGATACAGCAAGGAGACCCGCCAACAGCCCATACTTGTGGCATATAGCCTTGTCTCAATCGAGAACAACATTCGTCATTGAGCATGATGAGCGGCCGGATGCGCACGGGATACAGGCATGACGGGGTGTTTGCGCACAGGAGCCCCATCATGGCGGGAGGCAACCTCAACAGACGATTTCTTCGGGAGACGGGCGCACGTGACGGCTCCCGTCGGCAATTGCCGCGGCTTCGGGCTTGCTTCGGTTTCGCGCAAGAGGCACTTTGCTCGAATTGTCTAGTGTGTATCGCTGCTACATACACCTAGCGACCTCCAGGACCACACTTTATGTATACCATAGAAGCTGTAATAAAGTTTTCAGGTTGCATATATCCGGGAACGGTACTGTCACAAGCCGGAAACTCTGGAGTCGAGGTTTGGTTGAGGTTGACAGAGTTCGTCTTGCATGCCTGCATACTCTACCAGCAGCATCGAGCACTAATGCTCCCTAGTATCCTCTGCTAGCATTCTGTGCCACTTAGCGCTCAACTAGGCAGTGCATCATTGAGTAGTCGCCGGAGAAGGACACTCCCGGCACACCTTCACCCGGCATTCACCCCGCCGAGATCTGCTTCAGTTCGACTGCAGCTTGTTCACGAGCCCGACATAAATGTCTGCCCAGGCGCTGCGCGACGACGACTGTGTCGCGCCGAAGTCTTTGGGCCCCAGAAGACCATTTCGCGGCACCGGGCGGCTCGAATGCGAGCCGCCGCCGCCAACTGCACGTGCCGTCGAGTCTCTTGCCCGGCCTGCTACAGGCTCATCCACGCTGGGTGGACTCAATCTGAGTGCACTACGAGGTCCTGTTCGTTCGCCCCGGCGCGCTTTCTCCGCGACGCCAAACCAACAGGACCGATGGACCACAGCACGTGGCCTGTACACGGAGACCGTCGAGATCTGCAAAATGCCTCCAGCGGTATGCGGCCACCGAGCATCAAACGCGGACCCCGCGGACCACTGCACCTTCCTCCGGCGCCGACAAGACCTAGAGCCAACCGTTCGGCAAGACGTCGTACTGAACACGCGTCATAGGCGTATACAGTCGGCTAAAGCACGAGGCCAGCCGTCAAGACGCCGTCGACTCGCAAACTCACAAACACGTGTGCGCCACACGGTCTGTCAGCGCCCGCGCCCATGGCATGAAGACACCGTCGAATTGCCAATTCACAAGCGCCACACGCGTACGATCCGCCAATACGGATAAAGTAACCCTCGAGCTTCAAGCGTCGAGTCCGCGGTCTACACACGTAAGCGATACATACGTGAGATACAGGGTCGCATCGCGTCCGAGAGCAGTCGAAGCTCGAAGCTCGATGTGATCCCCGCGCGCCCGTCTGCATTCTTGCGCTCGTGCCTTGAGGCCGACGTGTGCGGGCGCACGGACGTAACCGAGAGCGGTCGAAGCGAAGCCACGAAGGCGCGAGAATTGGGGGTTGGATCGAGGGTGGCGGTGCTGGGCGGACGGGCGCTCGAGAGCCGAGTGAATCTAGAGTTCAGATTTCGAGCATGCGCGGACCGTGGGTAAAGTTGTGAGTGTGATATGAAGGCGGAGGCTTGAGAGGAGGGTCGAAATCGAAGATGGCGGCGCGGGGAGTTGCGGTGGGCTGTGCGGTCGAGATCCCAGATGAGAGATGACGCGCACGGTTGACGGAGGAGGCGAAGTTGATGTAGAAGTGAACTTGGCTGGCTTTGATCCGAATTTGAAGTCGGCGGGCGCTCGCAGAAAGTCGGCTGTGGGAGGACTTGAGGCCGCGGGGATGCGGGGATGAGTGGACGACCGAGACTGAAATGACGAAATGAAGTACGATTACTACTACGATAAACCAGGAGAACGAGTCCGTGCATATATGAGGAGGTCCAAGTCCGATGGTGCAAAACAAGACGATCATAACATGAAGGAGGCGGTTGAAGTAGGGGGGCTCGAAGAACGACGGAGATATGCGGGCAAGTATGTAAGTCCGATGAAGGAGGAGAACACGAAGGGTGAACGTCGGGGTTCGCGCTTGAGCGTACGAGGGGCAACGAATGACGAGCTGTAGCGTAAGTGCATGATGCAGCGGTAGTCCGAAGCGTGAGAGGCGCGTATCTGCGGGAAGAGTGGATGTATGGGAGGCGAGGTAGGAGGCCGTCTACGACGCGTTCATTGGGAGCTCGATAGGGCAGTTCGCGTTCGTGACCGTAGTCGAAACCGACTTCGTGCCGATGAGACCTTGAATAGCCATCTCGAGAACGAGCCGGAATTGTACAGCTGTGACGCGAGATCAACATTAGCTTTATCGTACAAGCAGACGTCAGCGCGATGGACTTACCTGGTCGAGTACCGTTCGTAGAGATACCCTTGTTCTCGCAACCGTCGTGCCATTGCGTCCCTACGCGCGCGATCTCAGTATACATATCCACCTGGAAGAGTGATTGGGTAGGACGCACAAGTCTGATCGCTCGTATTGACCGCCGAATAAGTAAAATTCAACGGGATCTGCAAGCTCGTATACTCCTTCGCCGGCACCGTCGTCTTATTCAGCTTCCCGAACGCGACCTGCTTCGTCGTCTGCAGATCGTACACCGTCGCGTCCAGCTTGCTGAACGTGAGCGGGAGGTAGTTCTCGTTGGTGTTGACCTGGATGTCGGCGAAGGCGGGGAAGGAGAAGTTCGTGGGCGAGCGGGAGAATTGTGTTGGGATGGACGAGTTCCACCAGCCGGTTGCGCCTTGGAGGGGCTTGTTGTTGTTGAAGAGGAAGGAGGGCTCGCGCGGGATTGTGAAGGCCAGTACGATCCCGATTCTGCAGAAAACACCCACGCATCAGCGTCAGTCTCAGACCCACGCAACGAGCGAACGCCGAAATATACGCACGCAACGAGAAACCCAAAGCAGAAGAACACGATAAACCGCTTCCCCAGCCACCTCACGCCAAACAGCCCGCGCTCCCCGCGATTAAACTCCTTCCAGTACATCTTCCTGCTCTCCGCATTCTTCTCCCTCCTCCCCGCACTCGTCATATCCCGCAACTCGCTCGCCTTCCATTCCGGGCCGAGCGCCGGTACCGTCACGAGCTCGACGTTCCCTCCTGGCGTCTGCGGCTCGTCGATGTGCGGTCCCTTTTGGGAGTAGGACGATGGTTGCGGCGAGTTGATCGGTCGGTAACTACCAAACAGGGAACGGCGTTAGCGGATATCCAGCCCGAGACAGAAGCAGAGTAGGAAAACATACCTCGCATCGTTCTTCCCCATCCCAAACGCCGTACTATACCTCGGCCCCGCATTATTAAAATCGGCATACACATCCCACTCGTCCCCCGCCGGCTCGGCCGGATCGTCGGCGTAGCCCATCCCCTTCACCGGCTCCTGCCGCCCAACATCATAGTAACTCTGTCGATTATATCCCGCGCCTCCTCCTGCGCCGGGAGGGAGCCCGGCGTTGGGGTTGAAGAACGACGAGGAGGAGTCGGCGCGGGCGCGGTGTGTGGGCGCGTTTGGGGCGGCGGGGTTGTGGAGGGCGTCGTAGGACGGTCGGCGGTCGCCGTAGAAGGAGGAGACGCCGGATTTACGGTCGTGGTCGTAGTCCATCGTGAGGGAGATTGTGGGAGAGGGTCTGGTGAGAGTCGGGGAGTGAGTCTGGGCGACGGCGTGGGCTTGCCGTCACGAGCGTCACAAGGCCCGTGGAAGGCGAAGGCGAAGCTCGGCTTGACTTCGGTCTTGACCGCGACCGCCGACGCGCAGGCTCAATTACAAGAACGATATGTACGCTTTCAATGTGTAGATGCTCTCGGAAAGAGAGGAGCTGAAGAGGAAATTCATTCTCCGGGCTTCCCGGCGGATTCATGTTCGGGCCACAGCTTTCCGAAGCCGCGGTGATGCGGAGTTTACGCTGAGGCGCCTACCGCCTTTCTAGATCTTGAACTCGCGATATATACGTTCGTATACGCCTACGGTGTGTGAAGACGTACATGCACTTGGGCCACAACCTCGCTCTCCCTCTCGCGCGCTGCCGTACACATCAACTTTGAATTTCTGACTCGCTCAGTGCGTACACGCTGCGTACAGTCTTCAGCTTTCTATCATGTATTGCCAGCTCTCGAGGTTTCTTGATACGGATAGAAAGGCTGATGTATGCTACTAGTATTGTGTCGACTCAACTGGGAAATGACTGGCCCATGAGCTGCTACGAAGGGACGCGCTGATCAAGCCAGGAATAACAGTCTTCAAAGTACCTCTCCTTCACGTCCGGCTCTGTCATCAGATCGTGAAACATACCCTGAAGCCTAGTCAGCAAGGCTCGCCAACACACTCGACGTCAACGAGTACTCACAGGATACTCGACGAAGGTCTTATCGGGCGTTTGTAGGATGTCGAAGAAGTCCTTGCATGTGGGGAAGCCGTTGATCTAGGGACGTGCGCATGAGGATGCAACTCTATGAGACGGCGGAGGGTGCTCACCATGTCTTCATCTCCGTGTAGAATGAGTACCTAGTGTACGGCTCAGCCTGCAAGACAGCGTTGTGGGAGGAGGTCGCACGTACAGGTAAATCCTTCGGCCACACGCGATGGCCTTCCGTGAGCAGTAGCTCGCCCTATCAGACGTGAGATGAGGGCAGGGATATATCTTTCGATCAAGCGTCAAGACCTACTCTAGACAGCATGTCGACTATGCCCTCAAGCGAAGCGTGGCCCTTCATCCACGGATCGGCAAGATGCTCGGGCCCTACAGCAGGGTCATGCGATAGATCCTGCGCATGCACCGTATAAGTTCAAAGGATAGACTGCAGAAGCTAGACCACATACGAACCTGATCTTGCACCGGTGTATTGAGTTGTATATTAGGAAAGAGTTTGCTGAGGAATGTGATGGTGTACAAGAACAGCGAAGACGGTGCTTGACGGACGATGCGGACTAGAGGCGACGACGCTATAACGCCCGATAGAAGGCCGATTGTGTCTTTTGACGGGGGAGAGCGGAGACGCGTTGCGAAGCTCAAGACGAGGCCTCCTCCCTATACCTCGATAAGCATACGTTCGCCTCCTGACCGGAAACGAGCACCAACCATCGAATGACCCATCAAGAACATCGGCACGCCCTTCACCTCCTCCCTCGCATACCTCAACGCCCACTCCAGATCGCCCATCCGCGCATCCCCACCGCCCGTCCTCCCATACCCCGCCCCAGCGCTCCTCTGCTCGCCCAACGCAGTCCTGCCGAACCCACGCTCGTCATACGCGAAGACCGCTACGCCTCGCGATGCCCAGCGCGAATGCGCGGTCTCGTATCGGCCGATGTGTTCGAGGTAGCCGTGTACGAAGACGAGGAGGGCGCGTGTGGGTGTTGCGGGGGGCGGGGTGTAGAGTCGCGTGTAGAAGGAGGTTGATTGCGGGCCTGGGAGCCAGGATTCGGTGAAGGAGCTCGAGGATGGTGTGGATGACATGCCGGTGCCGGAGCGGGTGCCACAGAGCGCTGAGCGCGCGTCAGTGAGCTGCTTCTATAGCGGGTTCGCCACAGAAGAAGCGCCGATGGATGGGAAAGCGCGAGCTGAAGGATCGACGTGATGCCCGAGTTGAGCTGATCCGGGCACGGACGCGTACTGCAGGGGCGCGAGCGAGCCAGCGCACACAGTCCTCTAGCGCTCTCGTCGAGAGTCGACTTACAGTATAGTGTCAGTAGACTGTAGAGCGATCGATTGTAGCCGCAACCACATCGGTGCCGATGGGCCGCGCGCCTGAGGTGCTGATGGTAGCGCGACAGCGATTTACTGTCCCCATAAAGCCGGCCAACACGCAGTCCTTCTGGGCCGAGCACCCTAGCTAGTTTTCTGTATTGGCGGGAACGTTGAGTATCATCGTGGTTGTGAATTGACCAAGAGTATGTACCCGCGCGCCTCGATCCAGCAGCCTCCAGCGCGGCATCAAACAGCATCAAACTCGGCGCATCAGCGTCGCAGTTCGAACTTTGAGTTGCCTTCGTCCTCCACAACGTCGAAGCTCGCCTACATATATACCGTCGCCCTACTATACAGAGACATTTCATTTTGTTCAATGGCATCGACAAGGCCTTTGTGAAATCTGCACTCAAGTGGCGGAGTCCCCGCGCCCCTCTCGGCTGTGCGATGCGAAGCTGTCCTCGTCTTTGTGGCTAAGTATATATACATTGCAGGCTCTCGCTTGGGCTGTATAGTGCATGTACATCCCGACGCCCACTACACCCACATCCAGTGTCCCATCAAGCCCTGCGCCTACGAACGCGCCTGTTGCCACTACGACCGACTCTAAGATCGCGCTTTGGATCGTGTGCTTCTGTGCGCCACACCATCCCACTCCTCCCTGCGCTTATGCTCACTGACACTCACGCCCTGCAGTATTCGCGATCATATTCCTCTACCTCATCACCGAACACGCCAAAGGCATGGATCCGCTCGTCACCGTACACTCAATCGGGGCGGGGTTCAGAGAGGTGCGCGCGGATTGGCGATACGGTACGCATCAACTCCATTCTTATCTTGCCTGATGACGTGGCTGACGATGAGTACAGCGCTGCTTGAAGTATTCCTGATTGGCGTAGACTGCGCGGCCAGGCGCGTCGGGATGGGGAGGGCCAGGCGGAGTGCGCCACAGTATGTGGTCGCCGCATAACGCGCCGCGTGCTGTGTGATAGGCGCCCATCCGCGTCGCATCGACGGCGGATGCGCTCAGCCTCAGCGCCCATCACCCACCAAGCGCTTGAACACTCGTCGTCCCTGAATCTCTTGCTTTGCCATCTGCTGTGTTCCTGTGTGTCTGTATACCCCGCCTGCCCACTCCCGCTCCGTCGATATCTGCTGTTCCCTGCTATCTCTAGCACCTCGTTCTTCGCGTCTCACATGAACATTTGTTGTCGTCTCTGCCATGAACTCTACACACATATGCGTTTGAATGATCCATCCATCGTGCACCCAGTCATGTTCATATTTTTGCCCGAGTCGACGTGAATGTCCGATTCCAGTCCCGGGCCCCCGATTATATATCATGAGCACCAATCTTGGTCCCCCTATGATCTCCGCAACTCCTTCAGTTGAACATCGCCCTGCGTCAGCGTACGCGGAACCCTCATCGCATGCGAAGTCCCGTTCGTGAAATGCCTGTTCATCACCCAAGTCAGCCTTCAATCCGTCAAAGAGCAGTGTACGGGAGGTGTGGCGCACTCGGGATCCTCCGCTTCGCCACGCACAGCCGTATTGAGGGATCTGAACATGCGCGTTGCGCCTATTCCTCTGTCGCATGCGTAAGCTTTGGGTGTTGAGATGCGGGAGCGAGGGGGGCTTACAAGATTATAACTATTCGTCGGCGAAAGAGGGGTGGTCAGACTCCGTCGAGATTGGATGGGGTGAGGTGTAACTGACTTTGAGGAATGACGACGATCTGATACGTGCGGGCAAGTCAGTTCGGGCTTAACTGTGCAGAAGAGACTGGAGAGACGCACAGAGTTGATGATGGCTGGCGAGGGGTTCGATATTAGACCGTGCGCGAATGGGCGACGAAAAGTGAAGCGGCTGCTCACCATTCAGATTCAACGAAAGCAACACCTGCGTGCAATATCAAGCACTATCCGTACGAACTCATATACGGGACACGCACCACCAAGGGGACATCCACCGCAACGGCAAGAACAAGATATATCAAGCCCTATACACTACGTGAGCAATCGTCCCGTCCAAGCCTCGAACGGGCGATACTACGTACCTGCGACCAAAGAACATTCCACATCCGATACGTCTTCGCGTCCCTCCAATTCCTCTGCAGGCCCAGCAGGAGGAAGATAAGAATCGTACCGTCCCCGCACGTAGTGATGATGGACGGGTAGTAGTCGTTGTGTACGCCGGAGAGGGCGCAGATCTCGAGGTCGGAGGAGTAGGTGGAATCGGCCTGCAGGATTGCCACTCTGGATTAGAGATACACGAAGAGCATACAGATGGGGATGGGGTTGCGCGCCTTCACCGTGACTAGAGCGAGGGTCAGTAAGGGGCTATAGCAAGGAAGTGGGTAGACGCACAGAAGATTGCGGATCCGAGCATAGCACATAGGATGGTGCCGAGAAGAGCGAGTATTCCTTTGTTCCATGCCCATACTGCAGCGCTAGAGAACACTAGTCAAGCCACATCTCCTACTACTCAGTGATGTCGAACCGTACACACGGATGGACAAGAGCAGGGACGAGCATATGACGCCGAGAAATCCCGTTGACTTTGATGCGAGTTAGAAGAGATCGCGAGCGTATGTGTTGAGGGTTCGTACTGTCAGAAGCTTCAACAAGAACTAGGATAACGCATCAGTACCTGGTACGTACGAGAGGAAGTTGAGGGCTTACATGACACTCTACTTGTTCGCGCGATGACAAGACAGTGATGCCTGCGCTATACACAATGAGGAGCAACCGACATAGCAAATACGACTACGGGGAGTCACCGTCAGCATCCTGGCCATCACGAATAAAGCTATCTGGGCGACGCACCCACTTGGCAATCCGCGCCGCCGGTGCGCGATCCTTCTCCGACCGATTCAACAACTTCCAATCGAAGTGCCCGTGAAGGACGAACTCGTGCCTACTTCTGTTAGTGAAGAGGCAAATGATGGATCGTTGGGCGCTCACCAGTAGATCCCTGTGAAGAGGAAGCCGAGGTTTTGAAGTGCGGCTGACCATGACACGAGTGAGTATTGGATACTGGCGACACGGAAAGACGACCACTTACTGATCTCGCGAAGAAGGGTAACGACGGTGTCCAAGCTCGACATCTTGCCCAGTTATAGTTGGAGGAGTGGGCGTTGGGCAGGCGAAGAATCTCAAACGCCACGACCTACTCATATAGTTCTCAGCGTCTGACCGTTTGATGTGTCCCATCTTGAGAAGGGAACATGATGGTCGAATTGGGCCGCTTCTCCTCGCCGCACAGGGATGCTATCATTGTGTCAAGCATAGATGTCTCCCATGTACAGGTATGCAACCGGGGATGATGACCCTCTGTGAGCGGCCTCGACGCGCCGCGCCGAAGAGCTACCGGCGAAGGAACGTATCAGTACCGACTCGAACGGCGGCATTGATTTCTCCGGGTCTCATGGCCTGTGTGGTCTAAAAAGGTCATGCGTGCGCCCGAAGTGCGCCTACTGACCCTAGGACGCCCATACATGTGGATTCTAGATACACGAACCGATGAACTCGACCAGCATCGAAAGTTCTTAGCCGCGGATCATTATGGGGTCTTGACAGATATGCACACTGAGAATATGATGAACAGCGAAGATTGATTCTCTTAGAGACTGGCAGCCTCAATAGAGAAGCTTCGCACATGGGGGTGGGAAGAGGGAAGCGACGAGCGCGTCGACGCCGCGTCTCGTGGGCGAGGCGGCATGGCGGCACCCGATTCTCACGGCTACAGCTGCATAGTATGCCGTACAACTTATGCCCTCGTGGATACGTGCTAGTTTTACAGTGTATGCATCGGCAGACGCGTCTGCATAGATCACCAGGCAATTGCCTCATGCAAAGCAGAGGGGTTCTGCACAGCTTCTGCCACCCGACGACGTCATCATTATTCGGCGGCGGCGGGCGCTATCGTCTAACATGCGGCTCACAAACGGCGGGCGCGCCGCAGGCGGCATGACAAGCGCTCGCTGAAGTAGGAAATCGAATGGTGGTGGTTCGGATGTCGGGAGCAAGTTACGCGCGCGAGGATCCTTGATCGAGATCGGGCACGGAAGCTGCCGCATCGACGCGGAAGCAGCACGTCTAATCCAGATGTGTATATATGCATGTAAGACAGCGAGGCACAGATGGATCGAAGAGCGTTCGAGAGTATGTTTGGAAGTACAGACACGAGAGGATAAGAGAGCGAACGGAAATGCGTGTAGGAAAACAGAGTCTCTATGACTGTAGATGCAGTTGCAGAGCGTACAGATAACAGTGATGATGAGGAGGATTGAGAGGAAGGAGAAAGTAGATGAGGACAGGGATGGGGATAAGCCATGGGCCGGGACGGCCTGTCATTGACGACGCGGACGCGGGGCCATATACGCGACAGGTCGGACGGTGCGCGCGCGCGGTGGAGCGCGTGGCATGGGTGCGCGTAGAGCACGGGCGAAGTCGACGAAGTTATCGACGAGAGCGTCAAGGCCTCCTGCAAGAGATGTATGAGATCTTCTGTTCAGTGCACAGGACCAGTAATGACGCACTTGAACGACGTTCTTCGAGCCACACCTCGTAGCGGTCCATCCATGCGTTCAGTCTTCGCAGGGGCCTGTCCCCTTTGAGAAAGTCGACGAGGAAGTATACGACCGCCAGCACAAAAACTGTATCCACCGATGAGTTCATTGCATCACAACTGTGAGATGAACGGGATGCACTCACACATGCCGATGATATACAAGGCGATCTTCTCCGACACGATCTCCGCGTGAGAGATGGCGGGGATGTTGTGCCCGGGGGCGGGGTCGGATCCATTGAAATTCATGGGTGCGGGTGGACTCGTAGTGGTTGTGGTACGATCGAGACAAGCGCAGCTGAGCTATAAAGGTGGCCCGTCATGTCCTAGGATAGCTTACGCACAGCCTATGCGACTGCGTTTCGTCCATTGGCTACGGGTCGTCGCGGAGCGTAGAGTATAGACCGCTGGAGAAGAAGTTCGAGTTGGACATGATGGTGGTGAGGAGACAAGGCTACAGCTTGGGCGTGCGCCTCCATCTCGTGCGCGTGTACGTTGATCAGCGTTAGCCGACTGGGCGTCGCGGTCGGTGCCACAGTTACGACGGCCCGTAGATCGGGCCGTGTCGTGCCGAACCTCATGGTCTGTAGCCCGTCCCGAAGCGCTCCGTTCATCCTCTCTGAAGGTCGTCACCCAGTCCTGATTTACAATGTATGCCTACGGCCGGTAATGACGGCGAGTCGAAGCTGGAGGCAGACCGCGTTGGTCGATTCGTCGTCCGCAGAGTGTGGCTTGATCTTGGCCAAAGTCGAGTTTGGAGGAAATTGGTTGCACGGCGCGTTCGGCTCGGTGACGCGTGCATCCGCCTTTCCTCCCACCACCATGTCTGTCTCAATGCGATACACATTTGAGCCCGCCTTGATCACGCTCTTCGTCTGTCTGCAGCTCTTGTCGTACAACTTCTCCGTCATTCGAAAGCTCTACTGTTCCCAAGTCCGTCGCCGGTGCGCGACGGCAATGCACCCGTGCCTGCTGCTCCGTGCGCGTTTGCTAAGCAAAAGTGATTGTGCAATACGCGCACGCCTCCTCCACAAGCTACGTGCTCTCGTAGCCACTTGTGTAGCCGCGATATACGTATACGTGGTGCCCGCTGCCCGCTGAGCAAGCCGAGCGTCGCGGGACTGTGGCAGGCTATGAAAGCCGGCCGACTCGCGTGTTACTGTATTACCAGCGCAGATATGTTCTGTTCGCTCTCGGAACTATGTGCTGACTATCGTTCGAATGCGATTGTTGCCTTGAAGCTACCAGGGCCGAGGGAGACTCATTGACGCTCGCGCCGCTAGCGGGTAGAGCAACGCGCGCTTGTTCTCGTCCTCCTGCCGCACTCGATGGCTCCGCAGTGTGAACCACCGACAAACTGAATATTGCTAGCACCTCGGGGTCATACTGCTGGCTGCTTCACGTCTCCTGATAGTGCTAAACAGGTTCGCCGGCTCGCCGGCTGCTTCAGTAGTCGGCCCCCCGACGATGAAATGTACCCTATACGGGTTTCGTAGCTGTAAGTCCTGTTCTTCCTATTGCATTTCGACCAGCATTAGACTAACACGAGCTTTCCAGGCCGAAAAAGATACTCTACATACGTCGCTTTGCCCGGTACGTCGTGCTTCACGCGATTCGCTCGAGGCACTCTCCAACCCCTTCGCTTCCTAGCAGCAAGCCGCCCAACTTCGGGCCGTGCTCAACCGTTCGGACCAGTTTAAAGTCCGTCCCAGCGGCGAGGACGGACCCCGGTGTGAACGCCGGTGCGGACGCGGGTCGTCGGCACTCTTCGTCCGGGACACGACGTGTGGCCAGACCGCCCATCGTCGATCGGCAACCCCGTGTACTGGCCCCAATTTCTACTGCTCGCTTCTCGTACTTGCTCTTCATTACGTTCCATGCTTCTGTACGTGTTTGTCTGTCTCGACATTGTCGTACCCTCTTCGCATGCCACATCCCCGCTTGTGCTTTGTGCTTCGCCTGCTTTTCATAGTCACATCACATCGCCCCGAAACTTAATTCACGGTTGCGGTATCGCTTCGTTTACGACTCTGTACAGCCTATCGGGACCCTCTCCTTGATGGTTTCGAAGTTGGGCCATGGACTTCGGGCCAGTCCACGCCACCATCGTGCCGACCTCTTGGCTCGCACCTCGCCTCGAATGATGTGGGACTTTTGCGGTCTTTCGGCAAGAAGCTGTTCTCGCTTATGGACGGCGACCTCACAATACACGTGTGGGATGCATTACGAGTGTGAGTCCCGACTCGTCGATGGTCAACCCATCTGTACAGGCCACAGGACTTCGGTCCTAGCTGCTGTTGTATGCACTTCACGCTGTGTTATGTTCATTGAGACTGTATGTGTGTACTATACGGATACAGGCTTAAGCTGTACTCATTGATGCATGGTCGGCATGTCATAAGACTGTCCTGGAGCCTGCTGCCTCTGACAGCCCGAAGAAGGCTGCATTTGCTTGCTAATGTACCTCGGCATCTTTACAGGGCTCAAGAGCGGCCCACGTGAGGGTTACGGCCTTTACCAATATGGTAAGAACTCTCAGGGCTGTGCCGAAGGTGTAATAGGTGGCGCTTGGGGACCCTTTTTTTTCTCTGATCTTTCTGAAGTTGAATTCTGTTCCCCTATTCTGTAGGCTTATTCGGAAGCAAGGATCTTCGATGGATAATACGGCTTTTGGGCACCTAGGCAAGTCCCCGTCGTGTTGAGAGGGGTCTAGCTTCTGATATATGACTTTGTAGGGGAATTTCGAGTCGGGACAGTTCGCCGCCCGATTCCTCGCTTCGGCTCGAACTCGACATCTCGACATCTCGATGCCGCTCCCACACGATTGCTTCGCCGTCACCCTCACCGGCGCTGGCAGTGCGTCCCTTGTACTCGGCGGCCAAAGATGGGAATTCGTCACCCAAGGCTTTCTCCATTCTGAGGTCGACCTTCGGGGTCGAAACGGTAAGCCCTCCGGTCGTACTCTGGCCTCTTGCATCCGATCTTACAATTCATCTCAGGCTCCATAGCCCTACCTGTCCCAGTCAAGGACGAGCCGCGCGACGGCGACGACGACAACGTGCATGTCATACCCGCCGATGACGGTCACGGTCAGTTTCATCCCATCTTGCTCCTGAACAAGTAGTGACGATGTGACACAACTCGTAGGTACCGTTCTTCCCGTCGCACTCAGCGAGGGTCCCGTCAACCTTCCGAACGGTCCCATCGACGATGACATCGACCCGAACCTCGCGGCCCCTCTTCATGCCCCTCCGCCAATCGTCGCCGCGGCTGCCGAGGACATCGTGATGGATCCCATCCATCCCGCAACGGCCGATGCTCCCGCCGCCGCTTCCTTACTTGCGCCTGATGTCGACACTGTGCCGTCCCACGTCAATCACACACCTACGCCCGTCGATGCTGGCCCACCCGATGCGCGCTCCGATGGTCCGGTCGACATCTACACCGACCTAGTATGCACGCTCGTCCAACACCGTGAGCTTGTCCGCGACTACCGCGCCCAGCACCCTCAAGTGGCGTGGATTGCGCCGCCGCGTGCCCTTGCGGCTGACCTCCGCAGGCACCTGCTCGGGACGACTAAAAGCTCGGACGAGCGCGCAAACCTAGACCGCCTCTCTCCCGCGATCTCCGCGCGTCTCGCAGTCCACGGCCGTATCGCCAATGCAAGGCAGGCGTGGATGAAGCTGCAGCTTCGGTATGCGGGCGATGTCGGTACGCGCGAGGTTATACCCGATGGCGACGCGCTGTATGACCTGCTCGTACGCATTCACCGTGGCAAGAACGGGCGCGCGCACGTCCGACCAGCGTCGATGCGGAAGATGATCAACAAGACATATGTCCTCGGACCTGGGGAGCCGTTCTATACCGCGTGGTGCGGTATGTGCCCGGGCTGTCCGTACCCGAACTGAAGATGGGCTTGTCTACCTCGCCTCGTACTGTATCTACTTATGAAACCCTTGTACTGTCTTGGAAAATGGCTGTATCAGCTTACTTCTTGTCCTGTAACATCGGCCGAAAGCCCTGCGTGTATACCAATAATTGTATGGTGATGCGAAGAAGCTAGACTGATGGTAGCGCTGACTTTGACCAGGTGAGGGATAACGAGCTTCGAGATATTTTGATCGGGACGGCCTTACCCGTGTGCGTGGCGCGTGTTCAATTGCTGAGACTAGACGTTCTTGTTCTCGATCACCATGGCGCCCTGCGGCCCCGGACCGAAGAGCTCAGTCCAAGTATCATTCAGCATACTACTGAGTACAGGGTATATTGTCCATGTCATACGAAAGCGATCTTGCCATCGATATCTACAGGTCCACTCCCGTCTTCGTCGTACATCCTTAATCTCACGGCGGTCTTCTTGGACGTCACTGCCAACGCAGCCGGCGCGAGCGTCTCCGAACCTGCACTTCGCGGTGCAGCCTCGGTGCCAGACTGTGCCCGTATGTTCGGCATGGATATGAAGTCGCCGTCGCTTCTGCGCGAGCTGAAGAGTTCTCGGAGATGCTCACGATTGTTGAGCCTGAAATGGTAAGATTAGGGGAGATCGCCGGCGTGAGGAAAGCGAGCGCGTACGAGCAGAGTACGGATGCTGAGTATACTGTGGAGAAGAGTATGAGACAAGCGCGACCGCAGAATGATAGGTCAACATACCTCGAGCAAGTGCAAAGACGAACGGTGCGTATACCAACGTCGACGCGTCTGCTGTCCACTGAACGGGACTCATTAGTTTCGTTCGCACAGATGTATTGTATCACCTACGAGCGCCAGGATAGGTATGATACACATGCTGTAAGTATAGTTAGTGCTTAATCCCATCTGTAAGTCGAGTCCCATCCGACTTACACTTCAATGAGACCTGATACGGTCGGCAGATCAGCAGACACATCGATACAGCGAGAATGCGCAACGCGTACAGGTATTCACGACGTATTTGATGATCGCGTGGATGACGTGCTTGGTTCTAACGAGCGGATTAGAGCGTGCAGTGTTAGTACGAACGGATGTTCGACGAACGAGGTGATCTCCGTCCGACTTGCTTGTGCGCGAAGGTAGTATATCGAAGCTGCGGCGATCGTCGTGTCCGCGATGAGTTCAAGGCTGTACAGGCTGATCACGTATGGCTAAAAGGTGACGCTCTAGTAAGAATGCGAGAACGAGTGGAGCCACAGACGGCGACGTACGAAGTCGCTCGAGCCACCGGTGAACCGTTTGAAGTTCAACCTGTGGGAAACATGAATCGAAATAGGAGCATTACGCATCGAGAATAAGACACACGATACGTCGATATAGACTTTTGGGTCACCGGGACGTGAAGTCAGCGAGTGTTAGCGCGGGCTGATGCACGGTTGAATCACCTAGTCCGAGGGCTAGCGGGACGATCAGAACGAGCAGGGTGAAGCAGTCATAGCCTCATAACGCACCGAATTGCGCGAGAGATAGTATGACCTGCACTTGCTTAGACCCAGGCGCGTATACGAGAGCTTTGGTGGGACGTACGATAATAACGGGGAGTAACAGCCTCTTCCTTCCCACTGATGATTGCCTCTTCTCGATCAATAAGTTGACTCTTCGAAAGAGGGAGATGCGAGTACTGACAAATGTAGACGCGATGTGCGAAGAAGCTATATGTGTGCATGAGTAGCTAGAGGTCGAGGCATGGGCATCTCGGCGTACCATTGCACCTGCAGCGCTATGAAGGTCTGGTATCTCGAGATGAGTACAGAACCGGTAGGTAACGGACTGTGCGCGCACGCTCAGGCCGATCTCGACCTATCATCGAACATTAGAAGGGAGACGAGCCGGGAGAAAGAGCGCAACATGACTCGCCAGAATACTCCTGCCGGTCTCGATCAGAAATAGCTCGGTGGGGTCCTGAGTCGAATCGGCTCACCATACTGTGACGCTATTGAGCAGGATGTCGTAGTTGCCGAAATGTGTCACAGTGTAGAAGTATATGCCGTAGTTCAAGAAGACGCAAATGACCGTCTCCATGACCCTTCTCGCGGTGTATGAGAGACATATCCAAGACCGCGGTGCACCATCGACGCACCATAGGACACCAATCTATGAACCCAGGTTCGATAGAGCGGGAAGGGCCGGAGTAGAGGTGCAACTTACGAAGCTCTTTAGGAACCACCCGTCGCGTTTGCTGTACTCCGTATAGTACAATAATGCTTGCATACAGTTGACACCATAGAATCTGGAGAAAGCGCAAATGTAAACATATACTTCGACCGTACACAGTTCTGTACGCACTTACATGTTCGAGATGATGACACCTATCGACGAAGCGCCGAGTGTATCGTCGAGAGGAACAGCCTGGGAGGACATAGTGTGCACCATTGGTATGCATTAGGGTCGTTCCATCCTTATACTTCCAGCATCAGGAAATCGCCTAGGTTCTTCCTGAGCCTCCGTGAGATTCAGTGAACCTCACGGAGCTCCCATGAGGGATCTGCGGTGGTGAGCACAGGTGAGCAACTACCCCAATTCAGGGGCCGCTCACTGAAGCTCATGGGGTCCCTACTGACATTCTGATCAGCATTCGAGCATTCTTCGTAGACCTTCTTAGACAGCTGACTGATTCTCGTACCATAGTTACTTACTTGCATCTTATATTCACTGCAGTTTGTAGTATCGAATATTCAATGAATATATTGCGAATTTCAGCGGTGAGCGCCAATGAGAGGCCAAAAGCGCGAGCAAATGTATGCATTCGGGACCCTAAATACGTGATCGAGCGGGTACATTAGGTAAGCGTACACAGCGAGCCATTTTTTTACAAACAGGGATTGATCGGATACACGAGGCGTCGTTACTGGGCACAAACTCGACGGTTGAGCGCCGATACATTCTGATGACTTGAGGGGCAGCGTTGAGGCGCTTTACGAGACACGACTGCGGCCTTCGACCGGCGCTTTTGGTTCATTTGATCACACTGTGACATTAATGAGTAAGCGCCGATGCCGCAAACCAAAAGGGCGATTACTGAACGCACCGGAAGTTCACGCCGCCTCCTCGTCACGGCGCGTGTTGGCGAGAAACTCGTTGAGGCCCTCTTCCATCTCATCCAGCCCGATATCGTCGTCGATCTGGGTCCGCTTCGTCTCCTTCGGTTCCGCACTCGGCTCCTGCCAAGCCCTGCAAAGAAGAATCAGCGCAGTCAACATACGAGGTAAGGGATACGTACTTGGCGGCGTCGTACAAGCACTGCATGGCCAGCGACATCTTCTTCTTGCGTACTTCATCCGTCTCGGTCAGCGACGCCAAGTGATGAGTGCAGTATCGCCTTAGCGTATCCTCCTTCAATATGATCGGCTGCTTTTCGCCGAGGAGCCAGTCCCGGATTGCCACCTCGACCTACCGAGCACGGTTAGCATAATAATATACATATATAGTTTAAAAGACCTACCACAGTCGCGGCGAATGCTGCCAGAGAACGCGGCACCTCTTTGCCGCCCTTCTGGCGGGCGGAAATATAAAAAGCGTCCGGGAAGTCGCTGGGCGCGAGCGTGATGCCGTGCTTATGCTTGCCGAAAGCGAGCTTCGCAACGGTCTCGATGATGGGGTGTGAGAGGAAGGGGGCGATCTTGCGGTCCTTTGCCGAGACCTTGTACTTCATGCGCACGTCCTCGACGTTGTTGGGCGCAACGCGCTGCAGTGCCATGGCATCAGTGACGTCGAAGCTCGAGGTGACGCTAATGTGACGTACGACAAGTTCGCCGGGGTAGACGAAGTCGTTGTTCGCGGTCAGCACCGTGACGGCGTTCTGGAGGCGCGTCTTGTCCAAGGGGTCCGTCGAGCTCGCGTACTCCTTGATGAGGGGGTACCACTCCATCATACACTCGCGTACGAGCGTGATCAGCGCGAGACGCTTCGACGCGCGCCGTTGGCCGACCTGTGTGACGATTGGGTTACATCAGTCAGGGTTATTGATACGAATGATAGACTTACGAAGTAGCAGAGGACCGCCCTGAAGGCGTCGTCCACCCCGAAGCGCAGTCCAAAACGCTCCAGGGCATTGCCGCGCTGGTCAATGACGGACTGAATCGCAACCCGCGCTATGTCCTCGAGGAACATGTCCACGCCGCCGATTACCTCAGGGAAAGGGCCATTCTTGGCAAGGAACATCGCGCGGATGAGATCCTCGGCGGAGGCGTCGCTGAGTACGTCCTTGACGGTCTTCGACGATTGTTCCGCAAGGTTCGCGGACCTGAGAGTCCATGGGTTGTATGTGACGCGGAGATCGCGCTCCCAGGCTTCTTCCTTTTCGATGAGCTGCTGGTACTGCTCCTCTTTCTTGGTGAGCATCATGCCGACTTCGGAGTCAGATACCACCTCGACGTCATCGTCGTCGTCGTCGTCGTCGTCACCACCGTCTTGCTCAGCCTGTAGTACGATGTTAGTCGTGTGGCGCAAGACTCAGACGCCAAGACGCACAGCCGGGTCGGAATCCTGCTGGGGGAGTTATCAGCGTTAGAGATCACTCCAATACAATACCAACACTAACAATCTCGATGACCACGGGCTTCTTGCGCTTCGGCGTCTTCAGCGGCACCGCGCTGTACTGTTTACAATGTCAGTGATTGGCCGCAGCGGATACAACACAGACACCACTTGCCTTCGGCGCGATGATCTTGGTCTTGTCCTGGACCCGAGTCTTCTTGAGGGCCGGGGTGCTCTTGGAAACCGCCGGGGACTTCTTGACAGTGCCCGAGGCGGTGCCCGAGGTAGCCGTGCTCTTGAGGGCGGCGCCCGAGGTGGCCGTGGTCTTGAGCGGGGTGCTGGAGGCCTGCTGTGGCGCCGAGTCAGCGGACATCCTCCAGCACGACGGAGAGGACCGAGTGGCCGCCGCAATGCCCTCGCCAGAGCCAATGGTGCGGTCTTGACGTTAGACGGCGAGTGCGCCGGAGATGGGTGTTCCCCCACACTTCCCAGCGTCCGCCCAGGTATAAAACCGAGGGCGTCGAAACGTGGGAGAGCGCAGGGCGCGGTTAGCGTCCGATGGTAGGCCAGGGTGGCGAGTAGCGGCGAGGGCGAGGGGGATGCGGATGGCGAGGGCGGTGCGGCGACCGAGGCAGAGGCGGAGATGGTGGCGCGGAGACAAGTCGAATCGACTTAGCGCTGAACGTGAGATGCGCCGCAGGCGCCTCCTGCCGCGTGGCGCCCACACGCGGCTTCTCTCAAACCGCCACCACCACCAACTGGCAATACAGGCGCAGGCCCCGTACAACGGGCATTGCCGTCCCTCGGTTTTATACCTGGGACGGCATGCCCGGCGGGTGCTAATCAGTCCACAGCGCGACTCCCCCACCGACGCCGCCACGGTCAATCATGGCGGCGCCGTCTACAGTACCCGGACGCGGGGGCATCACCATCGCTCGGTTTTACACCTGCGCATGGTATGCCCGCCGGGGGACTAAACATCAAACCCTCACAAGAAGGGTGGCTCACCTTGGCGCTCGACGTCGAGCCCGATGTCGTCTGGAAGACGATTAATTAGATGGCTTCGCGATAAGGTGAGCGTTAGACCGCACCTGGGGCGGCTTCATCCAGGACTCTGGAAGCACACGCTTAGCCTTCTGTACAGGTGGAGGCGCGTCTTCCTCGTCCTCGCTCTCCTGCACAACGGCGTCATCGGACTCTTCCTCGGGCTGGATGATCTCGCGCCCCTTTCCCTGGACGACGGTCAGTAATGGGACCGAAAACGGTACGTATACAGGTTACCTTGGATGCGGCGGGCGCGGATGCTGACTTGTCCTCGAGCGCAGCGGCCTTCGGCGCGTTGTTATCGGCGCCATCCTCCTCGTCGGACGAGAACGGGTGCTTCGCCCTGTAGGCCCTCGCCTCGCGCGGAGTCATAGGGGGGACTTTGAGGCGAGGAGGCGGCGCCTTGCCGCCTGCCCTGAGGACCAGCGAGGTACCCAAGGGCTTGGTCCTCTGCGAAGTAAGTCAGCTTCCGACCGATCCGTGTGCAGCTAGGTACTCACCGCCGCGTTGAGAAGACGATCGATCGTGTCGGCGTTCATGGACCTGCCGGCGGGCTTCTTCGCCTGGGTGGCGTTGACGTTCGCCTCCGCGGCGGCCTCCTCGGGGGCGTCGAGCTCGAACTCGTTCTCTTCGACGGGCACGTCCTCGTCCTCCTCGTCCTTGGCGTCAGGCATAGGCTCCTCGTCGTCCTCGTCGGTGCTGTCGGCCGTGATGCGGGCGGGACGCGTAACCTTCGCGGGAGCGGGGACAGCCTCCTCCTCGTCGCTACTGTCCTCGACCGGGGCCGACTGCTTCTTCTTTTTAGCGGGCTGGTCATCTTCGTTGGCACCGGACACCGCGCGCTTGTGGGAGGACGACGCCGGGGACTTAGCGACGCCAGCGCCGTTGGGCTGGCCCGTGGCGGCGGCTTTGAACTTCTTGGGTGCAGCCTGTTGGGCTGGCTGGGCGGCGTTACCGGCGCTGTTGCGAGTGCGCCTCATGGCTGAGAAGTACGGCGAGGAAGATGAGCGTCGAGGGTGGTGGACGTTGGGGGCGAAGGGCGAGGAAGGAAATTTGCGCTGTCGAACGTCCTGGACGTTCCCGTACACACCCGCAGGTACGAATGCACGTTTTGCGTCCCAGTTCGTGGATATTGACGACATTTCCGCTTGTTTTGAGCAGGTTCCGCTCGTTCTGGGTCGTTATCACCCTCAAATCCGCTTCCGCCAGGGCTGCGGGCTCTCCGACGCGGTCGGCAGTGCCGCTCTGGCTCACAAACTAATGGCCAATCGCACGCGCACCGACATCACTCTGACCTGGACCATGCGGACGATTGACAGGCGGCTCTACCTGCTGCTTTTAGTGGCAAGACTCGCGCCAGCAATCAGCGCGCTATGGTCTATCTCGAGAGCGGCGCTCTGGCATTTCTTCACCCCACTGATCCCGTACCTGCCGGGCTCTCGTTTTTTACTTCACGCCGAACTCGTCTCGATCCTGGTGCTCTGGGCGGCGCTCGTTTTCCACGGAGGCAACTCGCAGCTTCCCGGGTTATCCGGTCCAGTTCTCACTCGGGCACAGCTTCGACACCCCACGGCCAACGTCTTCATCCTCGGCGTGTCTCGAAAAGGCGTCTTATTACGCGTCCCTTTCCACGAGACCACCGGCTGGGTGCTCCACGAGCTTCAGCGCCGGCACTTGGTCCCACAACGAGCGGATGGTTCCCGGGTGGGGCTGTACATGCTCCTTTCGCCCAGCAGCGGTGGACTCCCGGTCCCGCTTCATCCGTTCCAGCAATTGGATCTCGCCGGGATGGACAATAACTCGACTATCGAGGTGCGAATGGCACTACTTGGCGGCGCTCGATCGAGTACGTGCCCTTCTACTATGATTACATGAATATATCGGACTAACCACTTGAATAGAGTCAATCAAGCACCAGCCCGGACATCGGTACTTCTGCCCTGGCTGTAACGCCGGGTTCCGTCAATTCGGACATCTCAAGACCCACCGCACCATGACCACGAAGCCCAATTGTAAAGTGGACGTCGTGGCGGACGAGCAGCGTATAGCCAAGGAGGCCGCGGTCACCGCGCACTTAGCAAAGATTGCGGGTCCTTCTCGCGCCCCATCCACGCCATCCACGCCATCCACCTCTACCGGCCACCCATCCGATCAATCCACCCCATCCGCCTCTACCAGTCACCCTCCCGAGCACGCCATGGACGTCGATCCACCGCCCGCAACACCGCCACCGCCGGAGTTCATGGAGGTCGATGATGACGAGTCTCAATCTCTGCCGCCTCTGGTCGTGCCACCTATGGGCGTGGAGGGGGATGAAGGCGATGATGAACTTGCATGGGGCGAAGAGGACGAGGTGCTAGTTCGTGCGGAATTGGAAAGGCAGGGTCAAGGGAAGGGAGGAGTTGAGGAGGAGGAACAAGAGGAGGATGAGGAGGAAGAGGAGGAGGAGCGGCAAAGAGAGCGGGACCCTGTGAACGACGACGGGCAAGATCTCGGTGGAGAGAACGCCGGAGAGGTGGACCTCATACGCCAGATGATCGACATGTTTGGGTTGGGGGATGCTCTCGACGACCCTTTACCGCCACTAGACGCTGAGCAACCGCCACCCGAGGACGTGCCACCGCCTCCCCCACCTCCCGACAACGATCAAGATACCGATGCGCAACAATCGCCCGAGCCTGAGCCGCAGCCACAGCCCGAAGATCAGCCCGAAGAAGATCAGCACGAAGAAGATCAAGGCGCGGGTGATGCGCCGCCACCGCCAGCTCCCAAGCGCCGCATAGTGAATTATGGTGGCAGGGCGGGAGAGGCGATCAATGCCGATGACGGACCGGGAGAACCGTACGCGGACTACGAGTCCCAACTGGCAGATGGCGCTTCCCCCACCAACGCGTACCATCCCTTCGCGACGAAGATGGATTGGGATTTGGCGGCGTGGGCAAAGGGGCACAACATTGGGTCTAATGCGTTGACAGATCTGCTGAAGATCGACAACGTACGTTCATTGTTCTTTGACCCCTGCAAACACCTACTCAACTTTGCGCAGTTCACGGACCTATTGAAGCTGCAGTTCCGCTCGAGCGCACAGCTTCACAAGATCATGGACGAAGAACTGCCGCGGCGCCCGGACTTCCTGAGGCACACATATGAGTTGGGCGGGGAGAAGCTCGAGATGTATGCGCGCGATTCTCTTGAGGTCCTACGCGATCTCTATTCCCGGCCCGATTTCGCCAGCGCCATGGTGTATGCTCCGGTCAAGCATTTCACCGTTGTCACCACCGCTACAGGAGTTATTGAGGAGCGGGCATATTCGGATATGCACACCGCGCGATGGTGGTGGCGCCTTCAGGTGCGTCTTCGACCTTACTGAAGAAATCGGCATTGAAGTCTAACTACTATACAGGACACGCTCGAAAAGGAGAAACCCGGCGCGACCATCATTCCATTGATCGTGTCCTCCGACAAGACCCAACTGACGCTGTTCCGGAACCGCTCGTGCTACCCCGTCTACCTCACGATCGGCAACATACCGAAGGATATCCGCCGCAAGACTTCCTTGCAAGGGCAAGTCCTACTCGGATATCTCCCAGTCACGCGCCTCGCCGGGATCAAGAGGGACGACGTTCGTCGACGAGCGCAGGCGGGCTTGTTCCACGACTGCCTCCGGGACATCCTAAAGCCGCTGCGAGACGTAGCCAAGGACGGTGTGGTGCTCGCATCTGGCGACGGTGTTCAACGGCGCTGCCATCCAATCCTGGCTGCATACGTCGGCGATTACCCGGAGCAAGTCCTGGTCGCGGGCGTCAAGTACGGTACATGCCCTAAAGGGACTCTGGACCCTTCGTTGTTCGGTACGCGACAGGCCTGCGAGCTCAGGGATCTGGCCGAGATCGCCGACGCGCTGGCGCTAGCCGACCAACCAGAGGACGGAGACGTCGTCGCATACGTTCAAGCTTGCCAGGACGCCGGTATCAAGCCGATCCAGCCATTCTGGAAGGACTATCCCCACGTCGACATCTATAGCTCGCTGCCGCCGGATATCCTGCACCAGCTGTACCAAGGCGTCGTCAAACACATGATCAGTTGGCTGAAGCATGTTTACGGCGCCAAGGTCATCGACGCGCGCTTCAAGTGTCTGCCGGCGAATCACCAACTTCGGCAGTTCAGCAAAGGGATCTCGGGCATGTCGCGCGTATCTGGCACGGAGCATCAAGACATCTGTCGCGTGATGCTGGGGGTCATCATCGACACGCCGCTGCCGCACAACTACTCGAGGAAACGCATGTACAACTGCGTGCGCGGACTCCTGGACTTCGTGTACATCGCCCAACTACCCGAGGCAACGGATTCCAGACTCGAGTCCCTGAGGGCGGCGCTCAAGCGCTTCCACCTCAACAAATCGATATTCAAGGATCTCGGCGCCCGAAAACACTTCAATCTGCCCAAGATACACGCGCTCTTCCACTACTTCGAGTCTGCGAGGCTTCTGGGGACTGCGGACAACTTCAATACCTCCTACTCCGAACGCTTGCACATCGACTACGCGAAACTGGCCTGGCGCGCTACGAATCGGAAGGACGAGTATCCGCAGATGACGCTATGGTTGCAGCGCCGAGAGCAGATGCGCGCCCATCAGGCCTACATCGATTGGCGCTCGCAAGGCCGACCTTCCATCCAGAACATGGCGCGAGCGCCTCTTCCCCGCGCACCCAAGCTCAAGAGGACGATCGCGCGCTACCCCAACGTACCGTCTTTATCGTTCGCGAAGGCCGAGCTCCTGTATGGCGCCGAGGACTTTGAGGCGGTTCTCAAGGAGTGGATCATCAAGGCGTTGAATCCCACTGCGTCCGATCAACACGTCGCGCAGATTGCCCGTAATTGGATTCCGCCTTTCCGGTCCGTCAGCGCTTACCACCGGATGAAGTTCTGGCACGGAGACGCCCAAGAACGCGAGGGAGAAATGGTTCAAGAGATACCGGACTCGATCTCGGCGCGGCCGGCGTATCACGATACGCAACGGAGGAAGGTGACGGGGCGTTTCAATACGGCGTTGATCAATGAGTACGGCGAAGGGAAGCATTTGGGCGTCACAGGTGCGTTTATGACTCTCGTACTCCCCCCGCCCTTATCCTCCATCCCTACTCCGCTTCCCATCGTGGAACAGGAGATGCGGCACCCCCCTTTCTCTCATATATCCACGTAAACTCGGCGCTGACCTCAGTTTGCAGGTTATCGCGTTGGACAAGTTCGGCTCATATTCAGCCTTTCCGAGAAGGCCAGGGAGCGCGTATTTGGCGCTCGAGCCGCCAATATCCCAACCCACCTTGCATATATCGAATGGTTCTCCTCCTTCAAGAACAGGCCGGAGAAAGACATCGATTTATATCACATCAGGCGCGAAGTCATCCAGCAAGAACGCCTGGTATCCATCCTCCCCATCGAGCGCATTCGTCGCAGCGTCTCCCTATTCCCGCGCCTCGGCACCGCCATCGACCCCTTCTGGACTGCCGACAACGTTCTTGAGGTATGTGAACACTTTTTCGTTAACTGTTTCTCGGACAAGCACGCCTATGTAACGATTATATAGTTTACTTTGACTTTGATGTATCGATTGTTCTTACATTTGTCTCACTGTACATTCTTTTGAATATATTATATGCTCTCAACGTCACTGTGAGTATCCTGTTGCATAATGCGAGCACTCAAAACTCAACGCGTACGCGCGCCACTGAGCGCGTGGGAACTGATCAGCGCGTGCTCGCACTTGCGCGATGCGACGCGCTTCGCCGCTCTGCACCAGAACCACCACCACCATCGCCACTCCCGCCCACCACCACCCTTCGCCTCATCACCACTTGCCGCGACGGCCGCGGCGCTTAAACTCACCGTTTCGAACAGATCCACTGCCCGCTTGGCGCCCAACGCGTATCCACACTCGGTTTTACACCTGTGTGCGCGATTGGCGTCACGCGGTGGACGATTGTCAAGACCGCCCTTGGTTTTATACCTGCGGCGCACATTCCCTCCACCTCGACATCAACATCCGGACGCGATGAGCAAGACCTCCCGCCCAACCGGTGCTTCGGGCTCTTCGGCCCCGCCACAAGCGCCTGCAGCACCCGCGCCGCGCCGCAAGACCAACATGGGCCCGCCTCCTGCGCCTGCCGCTGCCGCAACGCCCGCATGCATGGGCCCGCCTCCTACGCCC